GATTTTATAGTTTTAATTTTTAGCTTTATTCGCTGCCAGTACATTGATTTTGACGCTTCTGTTAGAATTACCGATTTTGCTAATTTTTTTATTTATATTCAAATTATATAGTTCTTTGATTATTACTTTCCGTCTTAACTTGAATCTGACTGTTCATTTAGTTGCATCACCACGAGCTGTGGCTGATTTTGTTAGCACAAGAAAGTGCATTTATGTTCTAAAATTTGTTTAAATAAAAAGATTGTTAAACGTTTCAAGTCTTCGTAGTTACTTTGAGACATAGCTATAAATCGCTTAATGCCTGTTGGGGGTTTTTGAACTCATTACCAGCACCAGATCAAGTAAAACCCTAAAACTGGAATCGCAGTGTCATCCTACCGTTTTATCTTCCTTTAAAAAGCAATGCCGCTAATACTCCTTTCTAGACTCCCTACACATTCATGAGATGTACTCTTAAAGTCTTGTTATTTTCCCAGATATTTCTGTAATTTTCTTTCAAACTGACTGCATGAATTCGCTAGTAGTCAGATTCCTTTCATTTGAAGGACCTTTTTGCTTTGAAATCTTCCCCAAGGAAATAATGGCAAATTGAGAAGACTTGCGAACGTGTTAGACAGGGCATTACTATGTGAAGGGTAACACGTTCCTGTGGAAAATGAAGGATAATATCATTCTGTGAAAGGTTATAAGTTGAGATAAAGCCTGAGGAAAGAGTCACTCGGGGCTTATAGTGATGTTCTTGTACAGGCATCACTACAGTAATATAACGCTACAGTATTCTAGCAATTACTATATTAAAAAACTTGTTGATGAAGCAAATGGAAAACTTAGCTTCTGTTTTGGAAATGAGAGTACATTATTTCTCTGTCGCTTTTCTTATTTCTTACTGAAAGTTTTTTTTTCCTCTCAGACTTTGCACTATTGAAATATAAATAAATGATTAATCTGAATAAAACTTGATTTTATGCAAAGTAGTTATTGTCTAGTTGGCTCTTTTGATATCTGGTTAAGATGGTGAAATAATGGCAGGACAAAAGTGCGTACAGATTAAAAACACATAGCAAGAGTGAAACATAATGGTTTAAAGATACCATACGGCGTTTGTTTTGAATCTGGAATCACTTTGGAATGTCAATACAATTATTAATTAGTGAATTAGCATTGACTTCGGATTCTTGACACATAGCCGATAGCTGTTAGCCGACAGGGCATTCAGCCAACACATTTAGCAGACATGGACATTTAAGCGACAGGTTATTTAGCTGACACGTATATTTATCGACACTGACCTATAGGCGACAGAACATTTAGTCTACCCAACAGGATATTTAGCTGGCAACATATTTTATAAACACTGCGTTTAAACGACAGCACGTTTAGCTGACATCAAGTACATGCAGAATGAATGCAGACAGAAACGCGCCACAATATTTAAATAAAATGTTATTCATGTTAATCCAACAAAAGTCCGTTTGCAGGGTACACAGCAAAGTCTACAGATCAATACTACATTTTTATCTTTAACGATATATAGGGTAGATATTTAGAAACAGAAAAGTAACCTTAGGGTGACAGATTTATACAAAAATTTTGAGAGCGACCCGATATAGATCCCTCCCTCTTCAGGACGGGAAAAGAAAAATTTCAGCAATGGGTGGTGGCATTGTGTATTTAATTATGGCAAAGCACACTAAAGCTATCTGCCTAAGGGGAGGGATGCCTTCGTGGAGGGCTTTCTAAGGAAAACTGACTCGTATCCACGTTACACATAGATAAACCACGGAAACACCCATGCAGCCAGCCCGTTCGCGGGATTCGAACCTCGGACCGAACTACCAGTGTTCAGCGACTTTACCGCTCGGCCACTGGTGGGCCATTTCAGCATTGGGAGAGGCGAAAATACTTCATATCAGCAGTTCTCAACCTTTTGACTAACGCGTACCATCTAAACAAAAATTGAAACGTGTAGTACTACCACAACCACACTTAAACAAAGCTCAGATCGCATAAATTTAAGATTGTTAAGGAAAAAAATCAGGATGTTGCGGTTTTAATTAACTACCGGCAAATTTCTCTTGCGTAACACCGGTTGAGAACCCTTGCTTTATACAGAAAGCAACAGATTGAGCAAAGCGAAAACTAACGTAACGTGACCTGTCGAGGAAAGAGTGATGAAACGTTAAAAGGATAAGCATATTAGAACTGTGAAAGCCTGAAAACTTAATTTCATTAAGGAAAAATGTTAATGCGAAAGGATTCAAAGAAATACAAGATACACAATTCATGTTCTATAACAAGGCATTTCAACTCTCATCCGTACTGATATATGTCAAACCAAACTCGCACGATAGGCTAAAATTTCGTAGTTAAAAACCAAAATGGGATATTTAAGGATGGATAAAACAATTTCGCTGTATGTGAGAATATGACTTGGAAGGTGAGCTTAGGAGGATCTCAGGAATACTGTAAAGAGTGTCGATAGGAAGAAGCATTGACAATGCAAATTACGAAATCCGCTTTATGGTGACAGGATGTATTTCACAGTTCCTTACCAAGTAAGGTCATGCTCTATACAATTTTTCTTTGTTGAAATCTGCCATTTTTAATGTAAAATTGTATTTAGTAAAAGCGTGTTTTACAAATATGAATTTCCTTATTTGCTCTGTAAGAAATTTATCAGTAACAGACATCAAAAAGCACTATTACAAAAATTGCATTTCAGATAATGTACATTGATCGTCGAAATGTATAGAGTACCTACCGCTGTTTAAGCTTGTACGCAAGAGATTACAATAGCAGCTTAAATTACTTTTCGACGTTGTTAATGGAATTGGGTAACATACCAGTAATTTATTTCTAGAGGTTTGATAGTTTACTCGAGTATGTTCCTAATGTAAAAAATATGCACATACGTTACACGATCATAAAAAGGTTTTTATTAATGTGGTTTTAAATTTATTAGCATGAACAAAAATACTTTTCCAATACCCATTTTTAAATGTAATCTCATCGTCCCAAACATTGGGTCTTGGAAATTGCATCCTATGAATATACTGCCGGAAACAACTTGCAGAAATGGAGTCTTCTAAATAACATCTTTGAAAGTATAGACTCTTGAAGTGTTAATTTTCAATGACAACACTTTAGAGTGCTACAATCGCGATTTTGAATTAGACTCGAAATTCACTTGCAAGGAATTTTAAATTCCTATCAACCTTCCATAATCCGCAAAACAGGGGTGAATGTTTATGCTTCAAACACACCAGAGCATTTATTGGGGCTATTCCGAATAGCTACATCTTCATGTTATCCAGATTTGGAGTAAAAGATTGTTCCAAATCGGGATAACATGCAGATGTAACTATTTGGAATATTGATGTTAAGAAAATTATTTTAAACAGGTGTACCTAAACAGCATTTGCTTTTAAAATACTTCCAGTAACATAATGTTTAAAAATTCCTCAAATTTATTCAGTTATTTTAAATATGGAAACCTGAAACGAATAAAATAAGCGACTTCACTTAATACCTATATACTCTTTCGGAAAAATTGTTTTTAACGCCTCTAAAAATTCAGGCTAGCAAAACCGTCGTAGTATATCGATCATGTTCTTGAGATCAAGAAATGTTCTCTTGGTAAATATATTTCTAGTATAATAAGCTATAAAACGGACAAAAGTTAAATTTTTATCGTTTTCATAAGTATGCAACAAAATACTAGTTTTTCGGAAACATGATAGTGCATTATTGGAGGAATTAAAGCAACGTATTCATAAGTTTGCAGTAGTTACGAAGGCTTAAATATAGAACTTTTTTCAGCTGCAGAAGTGCAAATCGCGTAATGAAGCTTGAAGTAAGAAGTCTTACGAACCTTATGTATAGGTAGAGATTTACAGCCTGAAACGACTGAAACTATCAGCCAGTTTTAAGCAATCGTTATCGTCAGTGAAGACGATCATCACCTTAAAGAAAGTTGCAAATAATCGATACTACTCAAAGGTCTAACCAGGGTTACTTAAAATAAGGTTCTTGTGGAAAGTAAAAATGAAATATTTTAAGGCATGTTTATCAAGTTCAGGAATACTTAAGTATTAGGAAAATAGCCGTTTTTTGTAAAGCAGCTTATCAGGAAGAAAAATATTTCCTTAACTACAGCTATACTAGTTTTATTCCAACCCGACGGCTGCATGTGCTTACACAACTTGATTGCTAGCATAAGAAGGTTTGTCTCCACACTTGAAAAACAAATTCCTCAACCATTTACTTTATTTACTTTTTCCGTGGCAGCTTTATCTGCATTTGAGTTAGGAATTATCGAGTGATGTATCGAAGTGGACATAGTAATTAAATATATATGAATTTTAATTGTTTTCTGGCACGGTATAAATTTGAATGCAAGGTAGTAAAGGATTGCATTTTGAGGTTAGATTTTGATAAGGGAATCGTAAAACTAAGAAAATTGCAAACGCAATTCAACATACTCAATGCTTCAAAACCTACTCAAAGCCAACAAGCGGAATATAATACGTACGCGCATGCAAATTTTCTAAGTTTAAGTAATTGTTCAAGGAAAAGTATACTTCATACAATACGCAAGCCTCTCCGTACGAAAACGCTAGGTATTAAGTGCCTGTACAAAAACGTTCCATACCTTCGCGATGTGAAAATTGCATTAACTTTGTATGCAAATTTCCTATTCATTTCAATTGGGTATAGGAATTATAAATTACTGAAGACTAAAGAACAAACAATCTTTCATGTTTTAGACACTTGATAGGACCTTATTATAACCCTGGTGGTTGAGTTAAAATGGTTTCGTCGTCTTTATGAAAGTTTGTTTTTTTTAGTTTTATTATGATTTTATCAAGGACACTTGAGAAAGTGATAAAGTAATTATTTGTAGCAAACGCCAAGAGTTCTGTACTTAAGCGACGGCCTCGCAAGGGAAAACTAGCTTGCTTTTCCGTTACAGAAATGTGAAACAATAAGAATGCCACAAATGCTGCTAAAATGGATTTTATTAAATACTAAAATTAAGACAGTTAAAATACTAAAGTTCAGCCATATTCTTCAAACACTGGAGAAATTGATTTCACAGCAATACCTAGAAAGTAAAATAAAATTTTAATTTCAAAATGAAATATTAAAGATTCATATAAGGCATTTAGAAGTTAAAAGTTTCCTTATTTTTAGTCAAAACTTTCATATAAACACCGAAAATTTAATTCCACGTAATGCGTTTTTATATGTTATATGGCAAATGCATTTGAAGAATAGAGTTCAAAGTGAAAGTTTTTTTTCCAAGCCGTGAAACCTTAGAGTAAAGAAAATCTTAACTAGAGTGGTAATTTATTAGGACAAATTATATAAACTAAGATTTGTTTTAATTTGCTATGGCGAAGTACACCAAGGCTCTGTTACTAGAGGAAACTGATTTCGTGCAGGACATTCCGTTTGAATCTGGTTAGTATAGTGTCATAAAAGCCCAATTTTTGAACTGGGGAACAGGTTTGGTTTGAAGTTCGGCAGCACTACTCCGATTAATCGAGCATTTTTAACTTATGTCTGAACGGAGGGATTGGTTTGTTTGATTACGGCAAAGCACTCTAAAGCTAGCTTCCTAAAAGGAGCAAGATTCGAACTACCAATGTTCAGCAACTGGTGGCTCCTTAGACGGAGCGATTCACTGAAGAGCGGCGCGTTGCAACTTTTAGAATTCAGAACAAAAACTGAACGTAAATTTCACGCCACTACTGTGCCTGCTGTTTCTCAAATAAGTACTGCGAATACCGGTTTCGGTAGGGGCTATGGGCCGTACATCGCAGAAGGGAACAATATTCTTTCATGAAAATTTCCCGTGTGCCTGATTTTACTTCGCGATAATCAAAAATGGCTTTCAACATCTTGTCTTCACATCTTTAAGGATGTCATGTCAGTTGACTATGAAAGGCTCTTCGTGTTGTTCACATACAGTAACTGCTTGCTGAAAGAGTGAAACAAAACGCACATCTTTTCTAGCGTTCAGTAGCAGAGTATATAGGAGGAAATAAATGGTGTATGGCTACGAACGTTTTTAATTGTCAACACTTACGCGATTTTTGACTAACCCTATAACACCTACGTAGCCGGCCTCTTTATTGGAAACTCGGATGAACTATCAGCATTAAGCCGTCTTACTCACTGGTTGGCACTAATTGAAAAATTGTGTATAGTTTGATAGTCTGTTCCCGAAAATTTCGTTAATGTTTTGCAAACTATGTGAAAGTAAAACACTTTATTAGAATTTAACACGACTCGTGAAAAACGATAGGGAAAACAGTAACTACAGGGATATTAAAAGTGTGCAAGAAATGTTAACTTACCATACCAGCACAATAATTAAAATTAAGACTGAACAGTCGACCCTCCAGAAGTTCCGAATGGAACTACCTCACTGGTTCCTTCTCCAGTAGCGGGCCGAGATACCTCTTTAACCTGTTCTGCGTGGATGTCAGCCGACAACACTACAATCCGAGGTGAAGAGGAAGAGTCCGTTGTATCTCCAGTAGATGACTCCTGAACTACACCTAAAACTAAAATTCAGAATATTCATTCAGAATCACAAGCGTAAAGTATAAAACTGCGGATACAAAAAGGATATTTATCCGCTTTAAATTTAACACATTCTCCAGTTCTTAAATTAAGGAGCCCAAATGTGAAAAATAACTAGCCCCATAATAGTAATGTTACCCATGATCCGAAACACCCCAAACCATACTTTTATTTTTAAGAAAACGTCGTGCCTAGTGGTTTCAACACCTAATTCTGCAAAATTTTGCGAATAAGATTGGCACTTGACAATCTGCATAGAATTTGGTAGTCATTTAATCTCGCATCAGAATCTATTTCCTATACAGATTTCACTTTTACTTGCATTCAAAAGCAAAAATTTTTATTCAGTTTATGTACGGCCCGTGAATAACATCTCGGATTTTTGGTGTCAAATGTCAAGGGAATCGGATTAGAAATATTGTCGACCAACGGTTACAGAAATAAAGGTCGTCTAAGGACTAACTGCGCGTATGCATTTAAATGCGTGTGAAGATGCATTACTTGGACTACTATTAATACTGTTTTATAGAGTAGAGAGTTTCAAGGCAACATAAAATAAGTCTGAAAAAAGATTTAACTTCTTTGAAACAAAAGAGATTAACTTAAAAAATGAAACTGAATATGTACAGAATTGGTTAATTGTTCATATTACTTTACGAAAAATGTAAAAATACTCCTAAAAAGAACTTTCTGAACTTGCAAATATTTAAGGAAACTGAATATTAACTTGTATTATATCCTTACAAAGAATATCTTTACAAACTACAAAGACATCAAAATTTGTACATCTTTAATATAGTAAGGAACAGTGGACATCTTCCTATTAAATCGAGTTAGTTTTCAGAGGAAAGAGGAAAATGCTCCTGATTAAAAATATTTATAAACCCTATCAAAACTATGGTGCAATAATTTTAACAAGTGAAATACCGATTTATTAAGTTAGTAAACGCATGAACTTTTATGGACATTTTATGCATTTCGCTCATCTTTTTTAAATTAAAATTCCTGAAATGAGAAATCCTTAGAAGTTTTGTTTCATGAGCGAAGCTAGCGAAATCAATTTAATGTTTTAAACAAAATATTTCGGTACAGAGAAAAGTACACAGACTTCATCCTGTTAAGGGGAAGAATGCTTAAGCAGAAGTCTTCCTAATGGAAACACTCATTCACGTTACTTAGAGTAATCTTTTAAAACTCATACCTTCCGTTCAGCGAGATTTGAAACCTACACGGACTACCAGTGTTCAGACATTTTACAGCTGAAAAGTACCATAATATTGTAGGATCCAATCGTGCAAGCAAAGAAAGAACTACAACTGAAATTTAAGAAACAAATTTAAACTTATTCTTTGCCGTATCTGTATCAATTTAGCCTTAAAAATCGGTTATGGCAAAATACTACATACAGACAAGTTTATAGTTAATAAATCAGAAAATCCAACTGCACGAAACAAATCTCATTTCAAAGTAAATCTGAATAGATAGATGAAATTGACTATTGCAGTCTTAAAGTAATGCATGTCCTGCGACAGAACTTCATAGTTTATCTTAAACTCTGGATCTCCAGTTATAAAGTTTTAAATCTGATGCTAATATTTGCCCACATAGAGTGGTGCTAAAATGAACACCTAGGATAACCGAATTACTTAAACGAGTTGGCCAATATCTTAATGACATGTTTCGAAACGTAGACCTTTACCAGAACCTAATTTCAAGTGCAATCGTAGCTAGAGAATGTTTAAAATAATCCCCCCCCCAAGTTGCAGTACAAAATGTATATATTGTACGTAATAATTAAAAGATTAGGTTAGACTTCGATTTGATAGTGACAATGCACACTAAGTTTTGCTCAGACGGGAGGATTCGCCTTAGGGTAAATATGTGATGAAAATTGGAGTGGATTCATGTTAAGAGTTAAGGAAAACCATGAAATGACCATGCAAACCAGGACACAAATCTTCGAAAAAGGTTAACCTATCAGAGCATATTGTTCACTAATGAATTAAGAGATTTACAAGTAAGTAGCAGCGGAAGATATTAGAATAAGAAAAAGATTGTTTCTAGAATACATTAGCTACGTAGAAATGAATTTAAGGCGTTTCATATATCAATATTCATTAAAATCAGTTTCCATTCACAAACGTGACATTTTACTGAGAAGCCTCGTACAAGTTATTTGTTCATATGCTTTATTTTTAGTCCAGTTTGTTTATTAACAAAGCGTACTATAGCTATTTTAAGCAACGGAGTTCCTTTTCAGGATTTCTACGCGAAGTTTCCCCATATTTACCTTACACATGAGGAAAAATCAGTTAATAAAACAAAGTTTGGAAATTTATTTCGTGATCACTTGCATTCCAGCGCAAGTTCCAAAATGCCTTCAACGGCATCCTTCATGTCTGGCAAGTTGTTAGAGTTAAATAACCGAGTAAAATTTAAATAATCCAGTTCATCTAATAATTTAAACCATAACAGAAAGAAATTCCGGGTTAGAAAGGAAATTTCAATTTAAATTAGGGAAAGCCACTTGCATATCTAAGTGATAAATTTAAGTAAGTTACTGCAATGAAGTTTTAGAAAGTCGTAGTTTGTTTTCCCCGAGACATGGGGAACTGTTTAAGAGAACGTTTATATATGAAAAAATTCAAAACAATTCATAAATTCACTCGCAATGTTAACATGAAAATTGCCGAGAAAAAGACCTGCAATGTCTAAACATTGCTTTAGCTCTACACTTTCTTGACGTCTTTCATAAAGTGCGATAAAATTACACGCATATACAAAGTTGCTCTGCAAACCGAATTAGCTGCGTCTAGTTATTACTTAATTTTAAAAAAACCCTTTGAGGGGCGGTATATAAAATAATTTAAACTGTGGTAAAATTTTGCATGAACTATAACTTATGGACCCTAAGGATACAAAATTGAGACTTAAAAAAATCTAGAGCGAAATCCTGAATTTTGAGAGACGGTATATATTTTATACCGGCGCCCCTCTAGGACATTTTTTTTCCAGGTAGCTGTCCAACTGTTAATCTTTGTTTTAAAAAATAATTGTGGGTACTTTTGATGTGCGTCTGTAGTGATGAGTGCTTGAATATAGTTATGTAAGTCTAAAGACAATTTTTTTTTTAAATTTTGGCAGAAATTTAAAATTTTAAAAATAAAATTTATGTTTTTTTTTATGCACTTTGATGACGCAACCCAGCTGAACATACTTATGTAAAATATGGGTAAAAAGCTTTTCAACTTGATTTAAATTCAATATTATTTTATAAAAAAATTTAGCAATTATAACACTGCATGTGTAAATCGTATATCATGCTGTAACTGAACTAGTATAATATTACAAGCAGATGTAAACTCAGCCGAAAATTAAAAAAATTGAAAAATGAAGCACTACGACCGACTCAGCTGAGAAAGTATGTTGCATTTTTGAGATTGTATTTTATACTTTAGATAATATGAAAAAACAACCATGCTTCATACTATGATACGAAGAATCGCCCCCCCCCCCCACGCACACACACTTTAGATCATCAAGGACCGTAAGGGTCCCTTTTTTATTTTTTGTTCAGGAAGAAACGCCGTTAAAAAATTTTATTATTTGATACACCTCAAAGCTCTTATTCTGATTTTCAACTCCTTTGGCTGCATAGGAGCTCCTTTTCAACTTTTGGATAAATTTTAGTTTGCATCTAAAACGGGCCTTAGAAATATTTTTCCTCCTTTCACCAACTGTGAGAATTTATTTCGGAAACAACCTATTTGTATCAACGAGAGCGCAGATTTCTCTTGTGTTCTCTAGTCTTTCATCTGAAATTAACAAAGAATTTCCCTAAAGAATAAAAGCATGCTTTCAAACCAGCAGTTTTTGTGAAGGAAGAGCGACGGAGAGCTCGCGACTTCGGGTGAGATGGACCTTAAGTACATTTCCATTTTAAGTGAGCTTTCCCTTTGTGTGATCTTATCACACCTCTCTAAGGGAAGTTCTTCCCTTAGAGAGGTGTGATAAGATCACACAAAGGGAAAGCTCACTCCCGAAGCGTGACTCCCGAATGACAAATTAGTTGTCAATCACCTCTTTCATTTTCCTTGCATTCTAGAATTTTGGAAAACACGAAGCAACGGGTGTCTTTTGGGGGCTAACATGCCACATTTAACCCCCACAATTGTGTAAAGTTTTGACCCCAGATGGCAATTTTGAAATCGATGAGTCTTTCTCTTGGGAAAAGAGATAAGTGCTGAAATAAAAATTTTAGCTAAACACAGACGAATGAAACTCGAGCTGAGTACACAAAGAATAAATGAAACTAATATACTTGTATTCAGTCCTAGCGCAGAGTCAATAAACTCCCCATTCCTCCATGAACATAATACTGAATCCTAAACGACTTATAAATTAATCATGAAAAATTATTACATCATAAACTGTTATAATAATAAAGAAATTCTGTCATGTCACAGAGTATAAAGGAGAAGAACTGGTGCTGCCATCTATTGGCGTGGTACCCTCAGTGTGGGCGCCGGTATATATTATATACCGGTTTTTTAAATCGTATAAATAATTCTGTTAATTATCATTTCTGACAAAAAATGAAGTAAATATATAAGATTCAGCATGTGTACGTCATATATTTGCAGGTTTTGAATCTTTTCTTTCCCTCCAATAGAATTTATCAATCTTCCAACATGATACCTTGCAAAGAGGTATATTAATTTCATAACTGCAAAATATTGAGCATTCATAGGGTGATGCTACCATTTAGAATTGAAAGGAAACACTAGAAACTTACGATTATAGCTTTTGGTGTAGAAAAATTAGCATTTTTTCGGAGGTTAAAAAATTGACAAACAACCGGTATATATTGTATACCGGTGCCCTTCAAAGGGTTAAGATAAAATGATTGGTTTTATCTTTCAATACTATTCAATTTGAGTTTACTTTTAAGCCTTTGTCATCTGAACAGTTAGCAATGAAGAAGTCTTATTCAGATTTGGCGACTTAATGTTCAGAGTCATTTAAATTCCCTTTATCTGTGCTATCGAATGTTATGCAATTTTCTTACTGACAAAGTTGGCTTACGATTCAAGCGTTAAGCCCTTTCATAACCGAAGGCTGACTTTCCGAGTTTGTTTCACTTATTTAATAAAGCTGAATACACGAGGACTACCCGTGTTAGGAGGAGTAAAGCCTTCATTTAGAATGTCTACACTATTCTGTTATTGATCAAGCCAATTTCACAAACCACCTTAGCAGCCTTAAGATAGTTTGGCGGTTAGGTTATTTAATTACCGCAAAGCCTAGAGGGATATCTGCCCAAGGGGAGGGATGCCTTCGTGGAGGAATTTCTAAGGAAACGTGGCTCTTATACATGGGGCAAACCACGAAAACACCCATGCAGCAAACCCGTTCGCGGGATTGGAACATCGGATCGAACTACCAGTGTTCAGCGACTTTACCTCCACCGCTGGTGGGCTCGATAGTTTGGCGGAAAAAGACACCTAAATCAAAAGCCGGTAAATTTTTTCAAACACGCTAAACGTTAATTTGAAAATTATTTTATAAAACACGGAAAGGAGGCTGCTACTGTGATATATTGCTCGTATTAAGTTGTATCCCCATTTTCTTCATCAGTAGCCTAATCATTCGTACAAAATGTCAATACAGCCAAGAAACTTGCTCAAAGTTATTTTATATATACATATTTTATTTCAGTTAAATTTTCTGTCGAAATCAGTTTCCTGTAGCAGAGGGTGGCCGTATCAATGTGATAAAATATTTCTGATCGCGATCTCGCGGATTCATTCAGTTTTTAATATAACCGATGTACATTTGGATAGGGCAGGTGTAAGTTAACACTATTTAGGTTCCGATAGCATTCAGCCGAAACTCGTCGAGAGGTTATTTCGCCTGAATGCTTAGAACGTTTTCAAGATTCATATTTTGTCGCATGAAAAATCTTACTCAAAATGTCATTTGGAGTTTTCCGTTCTCTATTATCTTCCATTTTGTGTGCGCTCAGTTTAGGAACTAAACCTTAAAAAGACAATACAAAATAAAGGTACAAATTTTGCGGTCAACGTAACAGACTCTCGTGTCTAGATTCAATGGATTATGCAAAGCACGAGAAAGCTACACTCGAATACAAGCTTTAACTTCGAAGAGCTTTCTCTAATAAATTAGTTCGTATTCAATTACGCACAAATGTTTTGCATCTTTAATTTACCGTTTATCATAAATCGTAGAACAGAATACCTCAGTTATAGATTGTGATAAAATTTAACAATTACACTCTAGTTTATAAGATACAAGATTAGAAACTTACCAAATTAACCAAATAGTTACGTGAAATAAATGTAAGGTTTAAACGCTACTATTATCAATTCATAAAGTTACCTTGAGGTACAGGGGAGTCAAAAGCGGGATTCCCTGCGTTCATACGTTTTTGGCTCACATGAGGTTCTTTCTCGCTAGTTGACGGAGATGTAAGCGGAGAGGTGGACAAAAGTAGGTAGGTAGAAATCCATCCCAGCCACGTTACGATTACAGGAGCAAAGAATCCAACAATGGACACTGCAAGAATTCCATATGCTGGCCAAGAAGCTGGTGCATCCAAAAGCAAAGCTAAAACCAACGATGTAATCATTGAACTTGTAACGATGGCATAATATACTACCCAAAATATCTTCCCATAGCAGAATAGATAAAGGGTTTCTGTACATTCAGCCATTCGAGATGGGCGAAATTCTTTACGTTCCACAACAGGTTCCATAACATGTGTGATTGCAGGAGGTGCTTGGAATTGCCCTTGTAAAACCGGAATCCCTGCTTCACTTTCTTCCGGACTGTAAGCAGGAATCGGTGTTTCACTGGCTTCCGGACTGAAAGCAGGAATCTGTGTTTCACTGGCTTCAGGATCCATTGAGCATTTGCCTGTTGATATAGTAGACGTTTCACCTCGTGGAATTACTTTCGTAGTTGGTGTCACGATAAAGGTTTCCAATGTCTTAGGGCTCTCCATGTCAGAAGACGAAACCTGGGAAAAACAGAATAGAGAAACTCACCAACAAATTTCGGATTTTATCAGATTATAATCAAAATATTTTGTACAACGTGTATGCACATGGACGCCAAGTATTTGATTTTACGAAGAAATAGCGCTATGATATATTAACACCATCATTTATAGCCCCGTAAAACCAGAGCCTATAAGCCCACAATTTAAGTCTAGGCAGCAATCGAGCCTTGGACATCATTACCCCTTATCGGCTGCCTTAAAAACCACAAAGCCAGACATAAGTTAGGGGGTCCCGTTTTACCACATAAATTATCACACTTGATAGAGAAATAAAAATGTATATTTATTAGTGTTTAAAGCTACTTAATTCAAACATTTGACTGCATGCAGTTTAGCTTTCCTGACCATTGGATTCCAACTACTGATTAAATATAAATAGATTAAAAACGCATTTAGGGGCTCCCTCGTCTGAGAACCTTTGGACAGTAAATGATTCGACAAAAAGACATCTCTATAAGCGATGTCATTTACATCGGCTGTAATGAAATAATACTTAAACTGCTCTATTTAGCGTAATCAAATACATTGTGATAAAAGAACGCATGTAAACGTTTCCTCCTGTAACTTATAAATTAACGTCATCTATGGTTATTACGGTGCAAATAAGAATTAAATGAAAGGGATTACAAGGCCTGTGTAAATATGAAGTAAAGGATTTTACGATTATAAATGCGGGCAACATTTCTTTAGAGCTGCAATGTGCACTTGAAGCCATTCACGATGAATGAGGAATTATAGCTTCTCAAAACTAACGATCTTTTATCTAGATCACTTCAATCCGATACCAAAGTCTAGTCGAAATTTACAATCTGAAGCACAGATTCAACGAACGGTTTTTGAGCTATTGCAGTTGTATACCAAGAGCACCCATGTTACTGAAATTGGGATAAGAGATTGGTCTGACTGCTTAAGGTTTCTACAGATTTTGATCATAACTGCTTCATCATTTACCAACATATCAATTTAGACACCCGTTATATTTACAATGCAGTTTAAAATAAAAAATGGTCTTTAAATATACAGGCATTCATACGCTTTTAAAGTGTTGAGAAAAGAATAATTAATTGTCCATCAATTTTTGTTGGTTAAATTAACGTAAACAATATTGAGCTCCCTACCATGGAGAGGATGCCTTCATCGGAGGAGTAGTATATATAGGAATAACCATGAAAATACTCATGCATAGCTAGCTAGTTTTCTAGGATTCGAATGTTGTCAAAAAGAGAGAAAGACAAGTTATACGTACAGAGAATAATTAGGAGATTAACAGAATTTTTTTAGACCTTTGAGCAAAATATTTCATCATTGAATGTTTTTTACATTTATATACACGTAATAGATTTAAACATGATAGTTAAGTTTCATACGATTAAAATTATAAGTGGATGCAAACTAAGGTAGACTTTTTAAGGTAGTACTTTTAAAAACAAGAAATCTGATGTACACGTTGTTTCGAATGACTTATTTTAACAACAGTTCAAGAGAACAAATTAGCCATTAAGTACTTTCAGTTAATTTATTTTAAAATTTTACGTTTTTGCACCCACCCTGTTCTCCCTCGTTGACTTTTAAAACTTTAACACATTGAAAGTTTTCTTCTCAGCTTTCGAGGAGAGTGAAATTTCAGTTGGCTTAATGTTATAACCTGCACCCTTCCCATTTAAGACTTCTTTAAAATCCATACAAAAAATTTAACTGTCAAATATGATTAAACACGGCGTCCACATTCTTCATCGACCCTTTCTAATCAGATTAACAGGAAACGCAGCAACAATATACCAAGGCATGGAGTTAAGTCTGCTATGAGCCATGTTGCTAACGCAAAACTAGTAAACATCTAAAATAAAGTCCGGCTGTTGTAAAATTTAAATTGTATCGAAATAGCTATTTATCACTTCGAGAATGACAGTTTGCTTAAAGCCAAACATTAACTTTGGTCGAGTTGACTACCGACTGTAACAAGAAACTCATCAGCCTATATACTGCTATTGTAGGGGGTTAATCTTACCACATTCATTTATTTAGCTACGGCAGAACCCGCATGGCTCATCTGCCTAACGGGGGGACGAAGGCACTTATCCACATTTTTCCCCTAATGGCGGGTACTTGCATATGCCGGCATCGGCCACTTCCAAGGGCAGATGGGCCGTCTCTATTATGGAAGCACCTAACAGGTGGGCCACCATTGCCTCCTATGAAGGGAAAGGCAATTTTTACATTCATGCCTTCTCCGAGATTCGAAACCTTCGCTCCCGCAGTCAGGCTCCCCTAACCAGTATACCGTCTGAGCGGCCTTATCCATGTTACACATTGAGAAAAACCACGAAACCGCCTATGTAACTAGACTGATGCTTGCTTGGAATCGAAGCCAGGTGGAGCTAGCAATGTTCAGCAGCTTTATCGAGAGGCCTATGGTGGGCTTATTGAAAGTCAGACGAGTCATCGATAAAGTATAATCTTTGGCGTTCTTGTTGGGCTACAGATGAAATTAATCCCTATACAGATAAGCCTTAACACGATCAATATACTAAAATAAGAGATCAAAGATTTTCCGGAAATGTGTGGGTAATCTGAATGTGATAAACACTTTCAGTTGAAGAGCTTAGAGTTTCATCATTTGCATATTCGTCATTTAGTTAGAGAGCTCATGGAAGAAAAGCCTTCAGTAATTTTACTATTTAAATTCAACAACAACCAAATGAGTAACGCTGAACTTATAAAATGATTTCAACTTTCTAATACGGTCACGCAATATAATCAACAGAACATACGAACTGAAAGTTCCACTTTTCAAAAGGTTGTTAATCACCTAATATGAAAACCTAAAAGATTATTTGCATTTGAAAGTTTTGCTGAGTATGCAATTTGTATGAGCCATATTTCATTTAAAGAAGCGATAGGTTTAAATGTTATAATTGGATTTTAGTAAGCCTTTATAGGCTTTGGGGCTAGTTGAAACTATAGAAGACTACTATCTATATTAGCATCTATTAGCAAATAAACCAGTAATACCACACAGGATTCCGCTTTCCAGTGAGCGTTGTACAGCTACAGTTTTTATTGCTGAAATTGTTTCACGGAGACTGCGATAATCGTAGCTTCCTTTGTAATTCAAGGTCTATTAACTCAAATGCATTTGTACATTTAATTTATTGGCAACAATTTTCCCTCGTTAAATTTCGTGTAAAATTTAACAAAATTCAAGCAATCCATCACAAATGCGATACTTCTCAAAAGTTCTATTTTCGCGGATTCAAGCTGGACAAAGATTCAAGAGGAAATATGCTAACAGTGACAAAGTGTTAATATGAGAAACAAGATCTTGAGGAAGTCACATGCTTTCTTATTTAGCAAAAATATAAAAGCAAAGATAAACCGCGGATTATAACAAGCCCTTCGATGAGAGTTTGAATAAGATCGCTAAACAATACCGGGAAAACTCGGTTTTAATTAACTTTTCGTCGTAGAAAATACATTTCGTAGCCAAAATATTTCAATAGATTGTAGGCGGTGTATCGACGAGTACGAGTTGATAACCAAAGCTGCTTTTTCAGAAACATTGAAGTTTCTTTAATGTCAAGTAGAAATTTAGAAACCACCCTAACGGTTAAGTACGCAATATTTGAGAATACGCTGAACTAGCATAAAGATTGTTTTAGTAAGGAATGTTGCTATTTTCAGATGGATTTTCTGTAGTTTTATTTCACATTCTAACGTGATTTTATACACAAATTTCACAAAATTATCTGTATACTTGTGATAAAATTGGTTTCTTACGCATACTTTAACCAGTTTCAAAATAAGTACTCATGAGCTAGACTGAAATATAGTAAAATATAAGAAGGCTGTCTAGGAAAGTGGAAGTATTTCTGAGGAAAAAATAACTCGCATTCACGTTAAACGTTTAAAAACCTGAAAAACTCATTCAGTCAACCTGTTCGGGCAAAAAGCAGAACTTCAAACTTTCAAAATTCAGGATTCTTAATCATTACGTTAGTTTTCGGAGTCCAGCTGTGCGAGTTGTCTGCGATGAAAGGAATAAGATATTTTACCGGACAAAATTGCTCAAAGGAACAATTGGTTTGAATTTTGTTTTCAAAGTCATTAAGAAACTTCTACCGGAACAAAAATACACTTGCAAGTAGGGTTATTGTTTTCATTTTTGCAACAAATACTTAATTAGTAAGTAAAACATGCAATAAAGTAATTTTAGAAACTATCCTTTTTCTGTAAAATATACCATACAATACCTTAGCGTTTTCTCTTATAAAATAAATGTACATCTATTGAAAGTACCAAATCCGTAATCGATGTATCATGGCCTATATTTAACAAATCAAATTAGTATACAATAAGTTAGTTTTGTTCATCACCAGTTTACCTAAGGAAATATTCTTTTACAAGAAACGAATACTTTATACTTATACTATCCAGCCCTACATCATAAAAAAGGATTCTGAATGACTAAACGTTCAATCACTTCATAGAAATGGATTTAACCGATTAGCCGCTGGTGTTGCGTTGACGCAACGGTCAAAATAAATGTGTATATAAATATAACTACCTAAGATAATTTATACCAGCAGATGATGTTGTGTAGGGAATATTATGAAGATTATTTCTGTAAAAAATGTTTGCCTTCAACAATCATTTTGTTTATAATAAGTAATCTCGTACTTTAAGCAAAATTTAAGCAACATTTTAGACCGGATATTTTTGTTGAAAATATATAACGAAAGAATCGCCGTCTATTTTAGTCAAGGTCACCATTTATCAGAACATTACATCACTTAGACGTTTATATTTGTGTTGGGAAGAAAGGAAAAACAGGTCTTGCGCTGGCGCAACGTCAGCAGGAAACGGGTAGTCAATCTCCTTTTTCACTCATTCCTTTCGATGTTCTGGCTCATGCTCTGGTTGTTTAAAAATGCCTAGAACGAGGTATCTTACATTAGAAGCCCTTCAAAGTTTTTTTGATGAAGAAACAGATGATGATAGTGTTAATAATGGCCAGAATGAAACTGATATTGTTGTTGTTCCTTCAGAGATTGTAGAAGCTAGTGATGAAGAAAGCAATGGCAATGTTTTAAATAATGATATTTTACCAAATGATACTGCTGGCGAAGAAGAAACTCACGTAAGAAGCAAATTTCAGCCTTCTAAAAGCAGTTATAGTCATACTAAAAAGTTTAAAAAAGCAGAAGACTGAGCTCTTGAAGTGGATAAAAAGGAACTGTTAGTTATGTCTCAGGAAGAACATGAAGAAAGAGATAGAAGAGAAATTACAAAAGACAAAATAAAACTTAAAACTAGTGCACAGATTTTCGATTTTCTTTTTGGTTTAGACATTTACTCTTGTTGAACAGACAAATATATACGCTCAGCAGGAAAAAAAAAAAAAAACAGAATTTATTGCATTTGAAGCCTACATGAGAAGATTTATTCGAATATTATTGCTTACAGGATATCATTCTTTAACTCAAGAAAAAATGTATTGGTCTTTTGATTTGATAAGGACAATTCCGTTTCTGTTGTACGAGTATCGATATCACGTTTGCAGTACAGGAATATGAAGCCGAATTTGCATTTGACAGTCAAATTGACAATACTGATAAATTATACGAGGTGAAACCGTATTTAAACTTACTAAATATCACCACTTTTTTTACTACTGGAAATACACTATTTTATATTTCAGATGCGAGAACGCATTATTCCTTTTGCAAACTCCTATTGAGAGTGTAGAATTAGATCAACAACAGGAAGACCTAGTAAATTCAGCATTCAAAAACCATTGCATGGAGATGGTAGACATTTTATCGTAAATGTACGTTGTAAGGAGTACCATAGCCAGACTGTTTATAGATGCAAAGTATGTAATGTAGCTTTACATCATGATTGTAATCAAGCTTTTCATGCTTTAATCTTTCATTTGAAATCTGTATTTGTTAAAGAAATACAATGTATATTTTAATATTAAACTAATTACAAGTAAAGTGATTTGTAGATTTATAAAACGTTATACAGATAAAAAGTAATTCTGCGCTCCACTCAAAAGGAAACATCACACGAGTACAATCCTACTCACTAAACATCCGTAGTCTTATTCCGCTGACGTTGCGCGAACGCAACACTCACTTTCTCCACAGGTAAGAGCATTTTTTATTTTCAATGTAAATTTATGTTACAAATGCTTAATTTAATATTTGTTATTTTCATGAGAAAAGAAACATTCCCTGTAGTTTTGGCGGTTAATGGGTTAATTAAACCCTTATGTAAACTATACTTTCATTTTCTTAGGTTTTCACAGAAAATGATGCCGTCTCACATACTTTTAATATGAACGTACATAACAAGTCTTTAAATAACATGATAGTACAATTTCTAACACCCATAGTGTAAACATTTCGATATTAGCCTTTATCTTAAACTACCACCGCGTATTTACACAACTAATTTTAAACATTGCATCGATGAACAAATAACTGCATTTGTAAGAAACCTCCCCTCATGAACTTAAGTAACCTATAAAACTGGAAAGCACACTAGCCGTTACGTAGCATTAAAGTTCGAAGAATCACCCAATTGTTATTATACGGTTTACACAATAAGCTAATGTAAAAATTATACTTCAATTTCATTCTTTATTCGTGATCATTATTTACAAATTTGAAGCCGAAACGTTTTGTTTAAACTTGCACTAATGAATAGTTCTCATAGAAATAAATCATTTCCGAACCTTTTAAATATTTCTGATAATGTACAAAAAACGTATATTTGGAGAATAAACCAATACAACATTTAAGAATAAAGTTAAGAAATAGTTAAAGCAATTGCTTTTGGATTTAATGATTTCTTATTATCATAAGAACTTATAGCTCGAAAATTATCTCTAAACTACGAATTAACAACTAAGCTTAAAAAAGGAAAACAAAACAAACGTACCTTCGCACTTGCCTCTGGATTAGACATCTTCAGCACAAGAATAAACCGTAATGAACAGGCATGTGCCGAAATCAGTTTATATGCGAAAAATTTAGATCAAATTCCTTAACACATCTTCTTAACAAACACATGGCTTATCTGGCTCAGAGAGTATGCCACATTGCGGCAGGTTGAAAAACCTTACTCACAGAAACTTACAGAAACTCACAGAAACTCAGAAATGACTCCATTAATCCGATGAATCTAAGAAGCGATATTAATAGAAGCGACCTTTCAACTTTTCAAATTTAATTTTATTATTACTATTATTATTATTGAGTTAAATAAAATATGTGAAATTTTATACGTAAATCGATTTACGCTGAAACGTTAACGATTACATTAAATACACTAAAAGGTTAAGTATAAATTTTAGCTGCCATAAATTCTTGATGATGCGAAATTAAAAGCACGAGCTGCTAATAACAATGAAGGAGAAATTTAAATAAATTGAATAACTGCTGCATAACAACAAGTTCGTTTTCAAGAGATTCCTAATACAGATTTCTCTCCTGGTGGCAAAAATGAACTGTATTATAAAAATTTACCAACATATTAGACAGATTTATGTCAAGTCTCATATTAATAAATCAATTAAATGACATATTCAGAGCTATAAGCAATTATATTCCCATGTTCATACTGACTAAATAATTACCGTACTGCTAATTACCGCTCACGTTTGAAATTATAATCTTGCTTAGAATGGTTCTACGTTATCCAATTATTTTTAAAATCTCAGTTTTTTTCTCATGGAATTGTCAACATTTCTGCAGCTGTGCAATGCCCTGGCTATATAAAACTCGGGAGTCTTGGACATAACGAGTCCGTGAGTTAGGACCATAGGTGCCTCATTGTTGAAAGCTTTCTCATGAAAGCGGTTGTCGAGGAAAGAGAACAACAAATGGTGATTTGTTAGCTCTAAGCACCGTTTCTCCCAAAAAGCAGTTAAATTGCATCCCTGGTCGTCCTTGCCACGTGGAGTCTCGCATTATCCCGCAGGTACAGCACATCCTTGTCATTAAGCAACTCTGGCTTCTTTGCTTCAACGAATGTTGCACCGTTTTAACTGCTATTAGTACAGATCCTCAGGGATGATAATGACTTGGCGACTAGTCCACGGGATATACTACAGGACAGGAAACCACAGAATAGGCCAGCTGTATTACCATTTAGGCTTTCAAGCTTAGTTGCCTATTATGTGGAACCATCTACTATCAGCTATGCCCAACCAGGGTCCCAGCCTGTCATTTATTGCATAATCAAATTTTACATTGAAAATTACAAAACGTTTGAATAGAACATACATAAATACATAACGTTTTGCATGCATTAGATACGTATAAATACAATAAGTGCTATGAAGTAATTACTACGATAATTTATAGGCGATTCGAGCTTATGTCTGAGAATACTACTCTTTATAATTTGTAACAACCCTGTTCTATCATTTTCTTGTGTATAACGACGGAAATGTAATTCTTTAGTTAGGGTACCGTCAAACATATAATGGTCTATAGTGCCTGGTGACCGTGAAATGCAGTAATATGTCTGATGAACTCCGAAGCGGAAGAGATAGACAATGAAACTACCGTGGGCTGTCAAAATGAGAGTTAACTGCTCGACTTGTAGAAATCAGTTTTCTGCAGGTAACTGGCAAAAAATTGAAAACTTCTTCTTCCTCTTTCTTCTGAATTCCAGTTGGTTGTCCAAATTGAAATGAGATCAGCTTTCAGATAAGATTTTGTTATTGTTGTGAATTGTCTCACTTGTCTGACAGTAATATCAGAACAAGACCACGAAAGTTATCGTGCAACGGCAGCACACCTGTCGATTGCACGATGACCTTTCGCTAGCAAGCGTATTTGAGTGCCATACAGGTGACAGTACGACTTAGCTCAGTTCCGCCCCCAATTTTTTAGGCGAGCACCCTGGTGTGACGGGTTCGAAGATCACACAACCCTCTTCCTTTACCATTAACCTCTGAAGAAGACCTTTCGCTGACCGCATATTTAGAGTGCTCCCATGCCGCGAATTTACAAACATCCATGCCTTCTCCGGAATTCGAAACCGGGTCCTTCGGTATAACAGTAGCGTCCCCCAACCACTACACCGTCTGCGCTGCCGACAAGATTTTAGATATGGTATGGGATTAGGTACACATGTAATTGGCATTGAAAGATTATTTGTGGCTTCCTTGACTAGTTGATCTGCGATTCATTGCCAGTAGTGCCAACGTGGGCCCGCGTCCAATGCAGTTTTTGTAATAATTATTTTTGGATAGTTCGTTAAAAGTACTTTTATTTCCTTGACGAAACGTGAGCGATTTTGTCATGTTATTGCTTGAATGCTGGAAAAAATATCTATTATGATTACACATATTTCTGTTAGATATTTTGAAAATATTATCACTTCTTTGATAGCTATTAATTCGACTTGAAAAACAGAATTGGTGATTTTTAGTCTTGTTTGTTAAGGTTTAATTTGAAAATTGTAACAATAATCACAGTAGGTACTACCTACACTTGCTCTGTTTTTAACAAAAGGTTGTATAACTAAACATTGCGTAATATTTTCACAGTCAAATAGATGGTAGATTTTGTTACTGATATGACTTGTTTGTGGAAGTCTAGAAACTTTAGTTTCGATAGTTTCTTTATGTAGGGTTAATGTTATTGGTGGAATTGGTAATCTGTAATGCAGTTCTACAGGCTTTTGTTACTGAAGGTAACAAAATGTCTTAGAAAGGAAATTAGTTGTCTTTTAACATGAATATTTAAACTGGACCCGAAAGCAGAGGCACCATGAAGAATTTTTTCTGTAACTGTATGATACAATAACGTTTGAAATTTTGGGGTTATTCCCCAAAAACAAGCTGATGTGGATTTCAAAGAGTTAGAAAGAGTCGTAATTTTATTTTTGAGATTATTGATATGCTGGTGCCAGGAGAATTTTTTATCAATTTTGATACCTAAATACATGAAGCTTTTTTCTATTTTCATTTTTTTCTTGCGTAACTTTTATAATTTGATAAGAGGAACCTGGTTTTTCAATGTAAATGGCTTTGCTGTTGGAGAATGAAATTGTAAGAACAAATTTGGTTGTCCAATGTTGAAAAATCTGTATGAATTATGAGCTTTTTCCTCAATGTATTTTCGAGTTTTTTCCTTTGATTATATTATAAGAAAAAAATCATCAGCATAAGCTCGGGCATGTGTGTCTGGGACTATCAAAAATTACAAAAGCTTCACTTGTAATCAAGTTTCATAATAACAGTCCCAGGCGAGAACCTTGTGGGCAGCCTTTTGTAATTTTTATATGAAAAATTTCTTTCATTTGAGATAAAATGTAGGTATATTCCATTTAAATAATCATTGATTAGGTTATATATTGAGACTGGGCAGTTGATCGATAGTCAAATTTGTAAAATGTTCGTCCAGCGCAAAGAGTCGAAAGTTGATTGAATATCTAAGGAAATTATTATTGAATATAGATTATTAACTTTATTGACAGATACGGCTTCTTGAATAGCTTGCCTGTCAGGATCAACTGATTTATTACTTGTGAACCCTAATTGCCTTTTATGGATTATTTTATTTCGGCGTAAATGAAAATTTAATCTTGTGAGTGTTAACTTTTCTAATAGTTTACCGAGTACTGTAATGAGACATACAGGACGTTATGAAAAAGAACTGCTTTCAGATTTATTTGTCTTTACAAAGAGACTGATTGCTGCTTTCTTTAGTATATTAATGAAAAGTTGAATTTTTCCAAAAAGGGTGCACGAATGATTTTTATTAAGTCATTGTTTGCTGACAAAATAATTTCTTTTAAAATGATGTTGTATAGACAACATCATTTTAGAACAAATTTTCGTCGGTTCATTTTAAAACAAACCATAGTTCCCGACGGTTATTTCTATACTGTCGGGACCTGATGCTTTTTTTAGAGTTTAAATCTTTCATTATGCTTTTTATTCCTACGAGATTTGGAAGATCAGAAATAATTTCCTTTTTATTATTTAATCAATCTTCCTGTGAAATTTCAATGGCTTGCTTTGTTGCTAAATTCTCTTCGTCTTGAAGAAACAGTTGAGAAAGAATTTATAAAGTAACATCAGCTAAAGAATGGGAAGCTTGAAAGCTTGATATTGAAAGCTGTGGAGGTATAAAGATTTTGTTATGAGCGATTTTAAAAACTGAAGCATAAAATTAAGATATATTACTGCAGAAGTTGCGCCAGCTGTTTATTTTTGCAATTCTAATGTTTCTTTTGTAAAGTGTTCTTGATTTGTTGAATTGTAATTTTATTTGATTCTTTCTTCAAGCTATTTACATGCCTTATATTTTCGTCTCAATGATACATTATTTGAAGTTGCAGGATTTTCATTCACCAGCTTATTTTGAGCTTTGCAAAGATTAATCAGTATTTGTAGGTGAAATTACAAGCCTCTATTATTATTTTAATAAAATTATTCATGGCAATATTTGCTTTAACTCTTGTTGAAGCTTTATCGAAAGAGTCAATAATTTCATGGAATTTATTTAGTATTTTTGTTTTATGTCTTTGTTTAGTTGTAAATAAAATTTCATGTTTTAATTGAAAGGTTATGTAATTATGATCACTTAATGATTCCCTGCCCAAAAAGGCCCAATTTGAGATTGATAAATCTAAATTTGTAGAGACTAAATTTGTGAGGCCTATCCAACCTTGAGATATTAAACTAGAGATGGTAGAAGGATTCTCTGGAGAATTTAAAATTACGAGTCGCTTTTCTTGAATAAATTCTGTAAGAATTTTCCCTCTATTGTTTTCAGATATTGCTCTCCAGATTGGACTATGCACATTAAAATCACCAGAGATGAGATGATAAGTGTTTGGTGGTAGTTGTAAGGTAGCTATTTTTTTGTAAGATTTCTTAAATTTCTGATGAAGACGGTGCATGAACAAAAGTACAATACATTGAATGAAGTAAGTTTTCTAACGTTATTTGTGACTGTAAACGTTGTTGTTGTTCTGAGTTATCTCACTTGTCTGATAGTAACATCAGTGCATGCCCATGAAATTCATTATAGCAAGGCATGCATCATTGCGCTTG